CACCACTTTTGCTGGTTTTACCGAGACAACCACAGGAAAAACACCGTTCTTTGGGGTGGGCCCAAAAAATGACACACCCAACTGTTGTTTGCGTCCGGTTTGGGGGGCGGGGTATTTTCTCAATTGTGGGGGCCTTCTGAACAGACAGACCGCAATGTTGAGGAGATCAAACACGTGCTCCCCATTCTATAGCTGACATACTCCTGAAGGCTTGAAGAATCCACTCCCCCGCTGCATGCTTTCAAGAGATTGTTTCTTTGAAAGCTCCAAGCCAGTGTGTTTCCTGCCCTCATATCAAATCGCAGCCTCTGTTCAAATTCCATACTGGGCGAATTAAGGAGAAGCCGAGGCATGATGGAAGGTTGCTCTCTGGGGGATCATTATTTCATGGCGATGACGTTCTATGTTTTATCAATTTATTTCGCACTGTTTGTGTTGTTGGCCGTTTGTTTCTGAAGCAAGGAGGATCACCTTCCCAAATACGAACACAAATTGGGCCCGTGCCACACCGTGAGTACCACCGTTTTTGCGCGTGCCGCCGGCGCTTTTGCTCCGCGCAATCTCCGCAAATGGGCGGCCCATGCAAAGCGGTCATGGGTGTTTTTTAACCAGCGCTGGGCACGTTGCAATTCCTCACCCACCCCACTCCCCCAAACCCCCAACCACATCACATCCAATCTCCAGCGTGCAAGCCAATCCGGAATGCGCTCTAAGCCCAGAAATCCTTAAGTTGACAAAAGCCAACTTTCCTAAACGTTAACCAACCCCCAGCCCAAAACAAGCCCAACCCTACCCTAAGCCTACCCTGAATGAGCCCGAAAGCAGCTTCAATCCGTATCATCCCGAACCTAAGCCCACCCCAAGCTGAACCGCAGCCTTAACCCCTAAACTCATCCTGGCCTTTGGTTGTTTGTTACGCTGTATTTGTGTTGGATCCTCACAAAGATAGTTAAAGTCAGCAGACGGTGAGCAATACTGTGCATGGACGAAATCTTGCGCAACTTTGAAACCATGGTTGAAACCATTGTTTGTCGATATTCACACGGGAATCGAACCATTCCAAGGTTTCGGAACGGGTGCGAAATGGAATTCGCAACCATCCACACAGTAGCTTCAGGGAAACCATGCGATCAGGGAGAAACCAAGATGTCTCCACCTCCATATTCGATTCGGCTTTTGTGCCTACGCCTTGTGCAGTGGTCCCGGAGTGTCGCCGAGGTTCCCATTTTGCAAGCGGGCCGGGCTCCCAATTTTTGGGGCTGTCCCCGCGTCAGCCAACAGAGTGCCCGTTTTTCCTAGCCACCCGGGCGTCTGAAGACTGAGACTTCCCAGGCAAGTGGACCAATAGCAGAAATAAATATTTGCAATACCTTACATAGACAGCTTTGGATGATGAGTCACTTGGCAGGGAATGTGCTTGCTGGCTATGTTACAGAGCCGCGGCGGATCGTTGCATATCTTGTTGCCCACCAGACCACCTTCTGGCTGCACGCCTTGCACGCGATCTATCTACATCTATTGCTGCCGCTGCTACTGCTGCTCACACATGATTTCCCATTTGCGTGATGTATCATGGGTACATATTTATATATTTGTACATATTCTATACACAAAGTATGTACATGTATAAATGTCGGAGACTCTTGAGCCACATTTATTTTCGTTCCCTCCCTGGCTACGAAATATCAAATGGTTGGAGGACATAAATCCCCACATCATTGATAGTCCACCACAGGGTCCCTCCTCAAAGTTTCACACCCCTCTCTCTCCCTCTCTCTAACTCTGTCTCTCGTTTTCGCTGTCTCTCTCGCTCTCTCCCTCTATCGAAACTTTCAGGCGAATCGGCGGCTGCTGCAGCCAGGTCCCAGGTGCGGACCAGACACCAAGGTTGAAAGGGGAAATGAAGGAACTCCACAGGAACACACAGTTCAAACAAATTCTTACGTAAAGGGCGAAATACAAACTAATAGTCTACTCCCACAAGTAGTTTAAAGCACCCCGCATTGTAGGTGTATAGGCCCTGTTGCTTGTTTCTTTGAGGACGAGCAAATTACGCCTGCGACGAAACATATATTATATACTGTTTCGCAGTTCTGGAACACGAGCAACGATGGCTGAGTCATTGAGTGGACTTCAGCAAACGCTGTGTGTGGCGATTGCCGTCTCCAAGCCATGGCCCCCGAAACCTCAGCTGCCAGTTTGGCCGCAGAGTTGGGAAGTGTGTGGTGTGTGTGTGTGGTGTGTGCGTGAATCTGTGTGTGTGTGTGTCTCTGTCTCTGTGTTTGTGTTTGTGTGTTGTCTCTGTGTTTGTGCTTGTCGGCGTCTTTGCGTTTTCTCTTGTGTGCATGTGTGTGTGTGTGTGTTTTTTGCATGTGTGTGTGTCACATGACCTAGGGAAGAGCTTGAGATGATTTGAGAAGTGTGGACCCATCTCGCCAAGTCTCACTTGTTCTGAAATCTAAATCGCCGAGCGGCGGACAAGTACATCGAGGAAATGATGGACATCAAATAGTTGTCCAAAGTCTGCATTTGGGGGGGGTAAATTTTGATATGGGACCCTTTGGTGCACGTGACATAAATGGGCCTTTGTGTCCCACAGTCAAATTTTGAGGCGGTGTCCTACTAAACTTTGTTGTTTGTCAATCTTGCCGATGTGTCCATTGTGCTAGTTACCTCGGATGGGAACACTGGCGAGACATTCATAACACTGCCCAAGGGGGAGATGCGTGCCAGCTTCCTCTTTGTCCAGCAAAACGCATTCGCGTGTTTGTGCACTTTGGAGCCAATATAGCCAATCAAGACACCCCATCACCTTTTTTTCCCCCAGGGCGAGCCAGATTCCCCCGAGATGTTCTCTTGACTGGTGTCTTGGATTCTGGACCTGACCAGGAGGGCGTCCCTGCTGCTTATCTCGGTTCCTTCGACTAAAACAGGTCTTGTGGAAAAACAAGTCGAATCTGTCAATCATCCCTCGAACCAGTATACACACGTTTTGCTGCACCAAGCCTGCCTTCACCTTTGCTTTCTTTCTTTCTGTCTTTCTTTCTTTCTTTCTTTCTTTTTTTCTGTTTGTATGTTTCCTTCTTCTTTTTCTTCTTCTTCCTTTCTAAAATGAACAATGGACGCGTACCTAATTCAGGCACCGAACCTCAATAGAGATCCCCTGGCGGATATCAAACGCCCTCGCCAGCCACAGTCGGTCCGCTCGGTTCAGGCTGCTCCGCCCTGGCCTCGGCAATTCGCCCCAAGTCCTCGACCAGACTTAGCTTAGGTCCCGAACCCACCAAGGGATTTGAAGGGATCTACTGAGCCACTGAGTGTGACTTGTTGAATTTAGGAAGCCTTTGGGTCACAGAACGGCTAACGGGTTCTAAGCAACTTGCATTCGCGTTTTCAGGCTTTGTTTTCTCCCCTGGTGCTTGTGAAGGGGATCTATGACTGCTTGAAATTAGTTTTGTTCTTTCCAGGGACCTAAACAATGGAAGATAATTTGCATCGCATTGTGGGGTACTTTAAAAAAAGAAAAGTATTTAGCCATTATGAAAGCACAGTATAGACTAGTTGTTTCGCCCCTAATATATCGAATCTAGAACACAGTTTGGATGCTCTTTCTGTGGAATTCACCTCTTCTTTCCCTGTTGGTCCTTTTTGAATAATCGCTTAGTACTCTTTCCTTTGCCCTACAGGGGTGGATCCAGACAAGTCATATCCAAGCTGTTTTATGGCACGCTTACGCACTGAGACCAATGCACAAGGTGATGTTAGAAACTGCCCAAAGGAAACTATGGGGTGGGAACACATGCAGAAATTGCAGAGAACATGTGGCAAGATGAAAGGAACAATGACAGGAAAGTCATTGCCCCCATTCATTGATCGACAACAGAAGCTTGCTTAAACCTTTTGCCCTTTCGGTCTTCTCTCATTTCCCCTTACCTGCCAAATCCGCTCACTTTGCAGGCGGAAGTCTGGGCAAGCGGCTCGGCTCTGGGCTGGTTACACTCAAAGTCGGGCACGGAAAACCGAGTTCCTTAGGCTTCTTCCTCTTCAACTTCCAGACAAGATGTCACGAAACGCCAGTGGTTCATCTTTTTCGGCCCGACCACTCAGGCCCCACAACTCGCGCTCGCACCTCGGTCGGGGGGCCCATTTGCCAGCGAGCTGAATCTTACATCATTTGTTCTCAGTCGCAATTTCCACTCTAGGTCTGTTCAAAGGAAGTCCTTCATCCTTGGGTTAAGCAAGGATCCGGTCCCCTTTCCAGTGGCATTCCAATAGGGATCCTGGATCAGGATTGGGCTACACTCCATCTTGAGCAGCCCTGGCCATGTCCCTGGGGCCTGGGAACTTCAGGGAACCCCTGGAAGTTTCTTTCTCTTCACCCTTGGTTCTAAAGGGACCGGGGTTGGGACGGCCCCCGGGCCCCCATGGCTCCACTTGAAAAGTTTCAGAAAGCCTGACCCAGGATTTGCCTTTTGCCATTTGGAAAACAAAGTGACTCTCTCACGTCACTGTTTTTCAGGTTTTGAGAGTGTAGTTATCTTGGTATATCTTGGTTCTGTTTATGTTGGCGGGCCCGCAAACAACACAAAGTGCTTGCTCACACAAGGATTGGGCAATTCATGTCAGGCTTTTTCTACACTAAGGGGCCAGTTGTTCTTGTCAAATGTCGAAACCTTTATACCGCAACTTGTCAATGTCCTCAATAGGGTCCCACCCCAAGAACTGAGTTTCCTTTCAGGTTCTCTTGAAAACCACTGCACAAAAGGTACCGAGCCTCAAGCAAAGGACACACCTAGTTGGAAAATGGGGGCTCACCAAGTTCCTATGGAGACAATGAATTGACTGGGCTGTGACTCTTATACTCAGCTTCCCCTTATTTGGGTTTGGGAATTGAAGCCCAGTTCCTTTTGAAACCAAATAGCGAAGGTAGCCCCCAACGCTCAAACCACCAAACCAAGCCACCAGGCAGTGCTCAACGTGTCCTGAAGCGCTCAGGCGTCATGGGCCGATTGCCCACCGAGAATGGCTTCATCGGCAATCCCGCGGACTGGGGTCAGTTGCGACTGGTGCCAAAACCGATCGGCCCCATTTGAAGTGCTGGTTTGGTTGAGCATTGATTGGCTCTGTTCCAAATTCACCCCCGCATAGTTGTCCTTTCTGGCTACAATTTGGTGAAACATATAGACGGATTGGGTTGGTTTTGCTTTGCCTGGTGTTGCTCCGATTGTTTAGCAGATTCTTGCGGTCGAACATCGGGATCCGTTCCGAGCAAAACTGCTCTGCTCTCCGCTGGGAGCCGTTTCGAGAATCGCAGCGTTCCACGCCTTGCCATCATGGTGAAGGCCTCTTGGCTGCGGGAGGTGCGGCCGAAAATCCGGGGAACCTGCCAGACAGGGGGAAGGTGGTTCAAATGGGAGGGTAACTTACGAAAGCTGACGATGTCCTCCTGGAAATGCACAAAACAAAGACACATGTCACATGTCTGATTTTTTTTTTTTTTTTTTTTTTTTTTTTATCTCGGACTCGTTCCATGTTTTTGGATCTCACGTTTTGAAGGGACCAGCCCAGGTCTTGTGCGTCCTGTACGAGGATCCTAAGGAGGGGTATCCCACCACCTACGCCCGCGACAGCATCCCTGAGATCAAGGCAAGGAAGTTTGGTCGGTTGGTTGGCTGGCTGGCTGGCTGGTTGGTTGGTTGGTTGGTTGGTTGGTTGGTTGGTTGTGGTTGGTTGTGGTTGGCTGTGGTTGGTTGTGGTTGGCTGTGGTGGGTTGTGGTTGGTTGTGGTTGGTTGTGGTTGGTTGTGGTTGGTGTTGGTTGGTTGGTTGGCTGGCTGGCTGGCTGGCTGGCTGGCTGGCTGGCTGGCTGGCTGGCTGGTTGGTTGGGCGGGCGGGCGGGCGGGCGGGTGTCTACGAATATTGATTTGGTTGGCTATGTTTGACTGCTGTTATATCGGATCTACAGTTGTTCAGTGGCACCCTCGGGATCCCGATTCGTTTGGCGGCTTGCCGACAAAAGATTGCCAAACAATGCCAAGGACGGGGGCCCCTTGTACGAATTACCACTACTGAACAACTGGGACTTGGCCACCTTGGGGCTGGAAATTAGGCTCAATGTTGACCCCGGATTAATATCAATAACCCATGTTTATTAGTATGGGCGTGTTCCACTTGAATCGCACCCCCATATTACAAAGCAGGTTGGATGGCTTCATGGATCTCGGCAGCTTCTGACCGCTTTGTTGCCCTGAAATGTTGCTTTTGGGGTTGGTATATCGTTTTGTAGTGGTTTTTAAGGAAAGCCAAAAGGAACACCACAATTTGAATGGGTACAAATCCTCACACCCAAATGTGCTAGCAATCTCCGGAACAAATTGACGTGATGCTTGGAATCGGATCAACCACTTGCGCACTATCACGGTGTTGTGAACTTCCCATCTTTCCCATGTTTCGACCGTTGTACCATTTTTTTATGGGTGTGTCGTTCTTTGGAGTTGGTACCTTTTTGTGGGTTTTAACCGGAAGTGAAAAGGAACAACACCATGTTGGGGGTCGCCTGAAACAAGAGACATCCGTTTGAAAAGATCTGAAATTTGAACTTCCCGTGTTTCTTCTGGTGTAAGATTTTCAAGTTTGACCCCGGACACTTTGGGTTAATCACCTTCTTTGGGGGTGTGGCTATTTTAGGGTTCCTGCCAAATAAACCAAATCCAGGTGTCCAGGACAACCCCACTTTTTCCAGCTCTAAAACCTGCATTTGCTCTTTACGTTTGAAACCTTTTAGTTCTCATTCTCCATGCCCCCCCCCCACCCCCTTTCCACCACCCGTCAGACCTGCGTTTTGTTGGCTTACCTCCAGGCGTACCCAGGGGGTCAAACCACTCCGAGCCCTTCAACGGTGGACTTCACGCCGGGGCATCTCCTGGGCTCTGCGACTCAGCTGCAAGTTTGCGATTTGGGCATGTCTGGTTTTAGGATTTGGAGCATGCGCTTTCCAAGCCGAGCTCATTATGCAATGACGCAGTAGTGAATGAAGATGAAGTCCTTCCTGTGAAACTGCAGATGAGTGGAGCTGGGATGAGGCCAAGAGTACTTGGAGTCGCATTCACAGTTTTCCACAACCCCCTAACTTTGGTTTTTTCAGGTTGGTTTTCCCTTAAAACCACAAAGCAAACATGTACCCTCGAGAGAAACACGCGCCCATGCTTTTGTCCCAGACACCCAGCGGGTTGCTTTCTGGCTTCAACTTTTAGGGGTTTGACCTGAAGGGAGTTGCCAAGGGCCACACTCAGTCAAAGCAGTCATAGAGCACTATGAGCCCCGGCCTGTTTGTTGAGTTGCTTCCTCATGGATGGGGCCTTTGGGGGGGGGGTGGGGGGAGGGAGCCCAAAGAAGCCCTTATTAAGCGGCTCCTTCCCCGCCCCTCTCCCTCCCCCCAGCTCGTGACTTCCTGCTTTCAACTTTTTGCTTGGATGGGTTCAAATCAACGATCAAACGCAGGGCAACTTTTCGGAATAGGATTTCCCCTTCAAGCCAACATCCACAAAAGTCAACCACCAACAGTCGGGGTCGCTTTGTGGTTGGTTTCCCCTTCAAAATCCAACCAAGGGTTTCCCTTTATCAACCTTTGAGACCAACCTATCGAACCAGCTTCGGAAACTCAACCAACAAGCCGTTTCAACCTTGATGAACACTTTTAGACCTCCCTTTCCACCAATTTAAAAACACCTGGTGCATTCCCTTTCCCCTTTTCCCCTTTGAATCCTATTTTCGCCTACAGCATCCCACCTCCCGCGTCTTCCAAATCCCCCCCGAACTCCCCGACGAACTCCCGCGCTGAGGTGAGCGGGGCCCTGGGCCTGCGGAAGTTCCTGGAAGCCGCGGGGCACAGCTTCGTGGTGACCTCCTCCAAGGACCCGCGGAGCCGCGAGGTCGCGAGTCGCGAGCCGTCGCGAGTGAGTGGGCCGAGGGGGCCATGGAGGTCGCAAGTGGGCGAACAGCCATGGGACTCCAATGGACCCTGGAGAAAATTTGAAGGAGGTGGTGGGTGGACCCTGCAAGTTTGTTTTTGGAAGGTTTGGCAGACATTTAAAGGAGGTTCTGGCCTGGATTTTTTGGAAGGGGTTCAGATTTCCGCGTACGAAAAGCCCACCCTGCCGATTAGGGGGGAGGGGGGGTACTTAACCCATGCATGGGGACCACACAAATTTGCATCTTTTTTGTGGCTGCCCCTGTTGATGCCCATGTTGGAGTGGTAAATCAAAGCCACAATGTTTGGTTTCTTCTATCTTTGATGTCACCGATTTTAAGACACCGAGTGACGAAGTTTCCAATTCCATAATAAAGTCCCACAGGACCGAGCTCTTTTTTGTGGGGGGGCGGGCTCACTGGGGGAAACATTTTTTTTGGCGGGGTCTGCGTCAATTTTTGGGGTTGCGACCCCCCAGTTTATGGCTTTCCTTTTGGGATTTGCCCCAAGCCAAGGGTGCCCTGAAAAAAGAAGGGGCCCCGAGTGGGCCAACCACAAGTTGCAAGGCCCCATCTTGGGGAGTCCTCTCATTTTCACACATACCCAAATCAAAATGGGACCACAAGGGATGTATTGCCCAAAAGGAGTTTTGTTCATAAGATTTGGCTGGCTTCCATTTGAAATTGCAGGGCAGTTGTGGCACAACTGTTGCCAAACTTTGAATCAGGTTTTTGGATGGTTTCTTTGTTGTCATCAAGGCAACCACAAGGTAGGATTTTCGTTCTGGCCTGTCAGCTCACCAGGTTGGGTGGGCGTGGTTCCGTTTTTTTGATTGGGGCCTGTTCTTTGGTTCGTTTGAAGGGAAGCAAGGATATATATATATATACAATAAGTATAGGTGTTTTATCCCCACGCTTCGTTTATCCAAGAAAGCAACTAATGATTGTTTTTAGAGACTTCTTTTCGGAAATAGAGCAACTTTGTAGGGGACCGTGTTAAGATAGTGGTGTATGTAAACCTTTGTTAAGTTTCCCTGGAGGTGATGTGTAAAGGGGACATGGGGACTTTTCTGAGGGGCGGAACAAAAAGGGGGCGAGCAGTTACGGAGCTGGGGGTATCGAGCCTTTCGGAGCGAGTGGTTGATCCGCTTTGCTTTTTAGTATGGAAGGCCAGAAGGAAAACACAGCCGTGGTTTCCTGATGCATGGGCTACCGTTGCTTGGAGTTGCACCCTCTCAATGGCAAGCCGGCAGGATGGCCCCGACTCCGTCTTCGAAAAGGCGCGGTGGTTGCCCTTTGCAACTTGAGCCAAAACGGGCACATTACAAAAAGAAGAAACCAACCAATTTGAACCAGTGGGTGGTTTTTCCGTTTCGGTGTACCGTTAAAACCAACCCACTGGGATACCCTCGAAAAAGACACACCCAAATGGGTGTAAACATGAATTCCATGGGTCCTGGACTCTTTGGAGGACATGCGGGTTCATGTTCAACCACTTTTGAGGTGGTTCCGACTGGTTCCGTACTTGTTTGACCCCCCTTTTCGGGGTTGTTGTTGTGTTTTTTTGGGGGGAAACCAACACATCAAAAGAAAGCAGGCAGTTTGGGATGTCATTCCCTATTTCAACACACACACACACCCAACTGGGCGCGTCCTATTTTTGCGGGTACTCCCCCTCCTTTTGCTGGTTTGAAGGGAAACCCAATTGGACAATCGAAACCATTTTGTGAGGGGACCTATTGGGTGTGTCCTGCGCGTGCTCCCCTCCTTTTGGTGGCTTGAAGGTAACCCAAATGGAAAACCGACGCCATTTTGGGGAGGACCTAGTAGGTGTGTCTTTTTTTTGCGGGAACTCCCCCTCCTTTTGGTGGTTGAAGGGAAGCCCAATATAGAAAACCGAAGCCATTTTGTGGGTAGCCAAGCTAAAATCAGAAAAGCGGCCACGCCCAGCTCTCCAAAGACTCGTCACCGGAGGAGCTGCCGGACGCCGACGTGGTGATCTCCCAGCCCTTTTGGCCCGCCTACATGAGCGCGGAGCGCTTCGAGAAGGCCCCAAGGGAAGTGCCCCCCAATCTTTGGAACCCGAAGGGAACGTGGCTCCAGCTCTAGTTCCCATTTGGGGATGGTTTCCGGGGTGTCCAGTTTTGTCTCTCTTTGTTTTGGGGGGGAGGGCTTGGGCTGGTTTCCAGGGTCGCCAGGTGGATGTGTTTTTTTCTTTCTCGGGTAGACGGAATATGGGTGTGTCTTAAGATAGGGGGACTCCTCAGAAATGGAGGTGTTCTTTTGGTTTCCTCTTGAAACCACCAGAAACATGGGCACCAACTTAAAACAACCAGACGGGCCGCCCATGTGAGGCAGAATCTGCAGAGTTTCTGTGTGTAGCCTGGGATGTTCACAGCTCCCTCCCCCAGTTCCATGCCGGGAGTTCGGAGGATGAATCAGCCTGACTTGTTCCAGTTCTGTGCCCTTTTGACATTTGTGCTTGGTAGGTTGACCGAAACATATGGGTGTGTCATTTTCCCACTGGACTTCCCACAGTGGTTTCCCTTTGAAACCACAAAGACGAGCCGCCCGCCTCTAGAAATGGTGTCTGAACATGCGGGGACCACAAAATGGTTGGTGTCCTTTGGGTTTCCAGATAAAAGACACACCCAAATGGTGAAGTAACACAAATGGGTTGCAGGTCCTTTACCGTTGGGCTCACCGGCTGGCAAAGACTTACGGTTAAGCCTAAACCTTCGCCAGTTTTAGCCCACGTGCCATGGTCGAACCTTCTTCTATGGCCAATGGTCATGGCTCCATGAATGGGAATCATTGCATAGTCCCGGCACATATCAGTTAGGGTAGGCCTTGCCCATCTTTTTATGGTACCCGAGTGTGACCCCCACCCTACGCAAGAACAGCATTTTTCAACCATTTTTCACTATTCAAATCGTCATCCTTATTCATTATGCATATTTCCACTCAAAACATTTCATAACAGTCTCAACCTCAAAATCCATCAAAAAAGTTACATTTTTCTCATTTTCTATTCCATCATTCTTGTCATTGTTAGGATGCTTGAGTGGAAATAGGAGTATAGGGTGGTTCATATGATATGGTTATTGATGGTAGGATGCATGGGCAAGGTTAAGCTCATTCATACAAAAAAAAAGCAAAAATAATATTTCTCAAAAAAAATAATATTTTCAAAAAAAAAAGTAATTTTTCAAAAAAATAAATTTTCAAAAATATTATTCCAAAAATTATGATAAATTATCTTACAATATTTTTATCATAAATTTTGTAGAAATATTATGGGCAAGGTTAGGTAGATAGAATTTTATAACTTAAGTTCAAACAACGCACTTTGAAAGAGATAACCAAATTAAGGAAAATTAAAGTATTTCAATCTTTACAAACCATAAGTATAGTATAATTATAACATATAAGATTTTACATGTTATAATTATATTGCAATTAAGTATTAAGGATTAAAATAATTATCAGTTAATAAATCTTCAAATATGTAATCTACATCTGCTGATTGTCTCCCTGAAAGAGCACAAACCTTGCATTTGGGGCTGTCCAAAAGGGACAAAAACCATACACCAAAAGCGGTGTACGCATACACCAAAAGCGGTGTACGCATACACCAAAAGCGGTGTACGCATACACCAAAAGCGGTGTATGTTAAAAAGGGGGCTTTTTCACCCTCAAATTATTTAACCAACCAAACTCACCAAAATTTCACTGATTAAACTACTAGGTATTTTATATAGGTCTTCCTGTTTATGTATTATTGGATTGTCTCCCCATTTTTCCTTAGTGCCCGATGGTAGCCGTTGTGCTGTTTCAATATGTTTATTATTCCTGATGTTGCCACAATCCTTTTTACATAAATGTTTAGGTTTCCAAGTTGTAATGTTATTCCATAGCCTAGTGCGTTTTCTGTAAGGCATTCCATATTTACAATAATCTACATCTTTAAAATCAAACTCATCCATAAACTCCTGATTTTTTAATAATCCAGTTTGTGGATTTTCGATTACAAAATATTTAGGATTAAAATATTTGATAATTTCAATAGTTTTTAAAACTATACTATTAGCATATTCAATGTTTCTTATTCCCCTAGTTTTTGCTACACTATATTCAGTGCATGGGGGACTACTCCAAATAAAATCAAAATGGTTCCTATCAAATTGTTTATAATCCCATTTCAAAATATCAGTATTTATATCAGCATTTTTCAAATCCAATGAAATAACATTGAAACCCATTGCTTTTGCAACAAGTCCAACACTGCCTGTCCCACTAAACATCTCTAATAAGTTCATTATTAAAGATATTTAGATAATATTATCTATGAATAAAAATCCCTGTTTCCTCGTTAAAAACTAAACTATGTTTAGTTTTCAATGAGTAAATGCAACTTTATGAATAAAGTTGCGTTTCCTCGTCATAGTCAATTTGATAAAATGTCATAGTTGAAGCCTTCGGTTCTTTAATTTCTTTGTTATTAAGTTTGTTTAAATAAATATTTCTTTTATTTTTATATTCACCATTGGTTCGATCTACTTCTTTACTTTGATAACTGTTTGTTAACGGTTTCTTCTTTTCCATTTCTTGCAAGATTTCTAAAATATTCTTATTCTGTTCTAAAACCTTGTTCAGTTTTTTAACCATCTTTTCTAATCCTTCATCCATGTAAATATATATATTATATTATAAAATAAAACTTTTAAAACTAAATGTTTAAATTATGTTAAATCTACTCTTTAAATACTAATTTTTCATCATTTGTTTAATAGTTTCCTGAGTTTCCTTATCACCATTATCGGATGGAGTAACTCCCCTCCCAAAGCGTATAGCAATATTATGAACATCTGTTTCTAAGTTGATACTGTCTTTAGTTTTATCAATATTCATTTTCTTATCATTTCTACTTATTTTGAAACTGGCTGGAATACACGAACATTTACAGTTTCCTTTCTTTTGTATTTCTAATTCATTCTTCATTTCTAATATTCTTTTACACATTGGACAAGCAAACTCAATAACTGATGTTTCTTTAACAACTTCTTCTTTGTCTTCATCAGTTGAAGAAACAACTGGTTCAGTCTTATTCTTTTTCTTTCTTCCCATTTATATTAATATTTACATTTTTATTTTTGATATATTGTATCACAAACTTAATTAATTCTAAAATAAAATAACATATTTTTTTACATCTATTATCAGTTATAACAACTTGTTCTATATTCTCTACTTCATCTATTATATTGATATAATCTGAATAGCTTCTATTCATATAAAATAATCAATATAAAATATTTTCTAAATAACTTTAATATTATTTTATTATGTCAGATGTTCCAATAATAAAGCCAATAAACATAACTGAATATGAATTCAAACAATCTAAATATGAGCACGTGCCAAAATTACCATTTAGAAGTATTATAGTTGCTTCTTCGACAGGTGGCAAAACAGTATTGGTTCAGAACCTTATCTTAAATGTTTATAGAAATTCATTTGCAAGAATATTTATATTTTCCCCCAGCGTTCATAATGACCCAACCTTTACAGAAGTTAAAAAATATATCAGGGATGAATTGCACGTGGATGATGAAAAAGAACAAATTTATTTTGATAATTATAATCCAAGTGATTTAGAAAATGTAATTGAAAGACAGAAGAAAATAATTAATTATATGAAATCTAAAAAGATAAAGAAACTGCATTCAATATTAATCGTTATAGATGACCACGCAGACGATCCTAAATTTGTTAGATATAGTAAATTATTACATGGATTATTTACAAGAGGTAGGCACGATGCAGTAAGTGTAATTTGTTCAACACAAAAATATAATGTGTTAGCGCCTATCATTCGTTTAAATGCCAGTTCATTATATATTTTTAGATTGAAAAATGCAAGTGAGTTAATGAGTTTTATTGAAGAAAATAGCGCCATTGTTGATAAACAGCAATTATTAGATATGTATCATCAAGCCGTTAATGACGCACCTTATAGTTTCTTCTACGTGAATATGAATGCTAAGGACATTAACAAAATGTTTCATATCAGATTTGAACAGGCGTTTCAAATTACGAATGATGAATAAAGATATTCTAATTTAATATAATATAATAATATGTCAATGAAACTATGTAGATGTGGTGGATTTTATCGTAGAGGTAATTATAATTTTCATACTAATTCTTGGATACATAAACTTTATAAAGTATTCAAAAAAGAAGGGCAACAGACGAGGAATTATTAAGATTTCAAAATAATTTTGTTGATGAAGAAGATTTAATAGATGATATATGTAGCAATGCATCAACGAAATTACCCGATAGTGAAATGACAGATTATGATAGTAATCAATAATATTAATTTGTTTTAATATTATTAATTTAAAATAATGAATAATTACATAATTGAACAGGTAATTTATATATTAATTTGTCAGATTTTTCTTTCTCTAGTTTCTCAATTCGTGCCACACATTCTTGAAGAGATTTAATAATTAAAGTGTCTGCTCGTGTTTTTTCATCTATACTTAAAACCTTAATGTCTTCCAAACTATTATTTTCATTATTTTTACTTTGAAAAGCACCCATTATATATAATATTATTTAGATTTTAATTTTTCAAAAATATATTTTTGTTTTTCTTCTCCGTCTTCTTCTTCTTCGTCTTCAGTTGGTGCTGGTATTTCTGTTGGACTTTCAGATGAAGAACTATGAACAGTAATAGGTGGAGAACTATGAACACTAACAATTTCATTAGAAGAACTACTGCTACCTTGTGCATTTCCTGCTGTTATTTGATTAACTAAATCTGCGATATTTATTGTTGTTGCAATTGCGCTATGTGATAAGTTTAATATTACATCTGCTACTGTAGCGCCGTTGTGTAGCATTATTTCTATCATTTTTGTCAGTTTGAATCTTTTTTCTTCTTCATCGCTGTCCTCCTCGTCTGGTGGTTTCTTTGGCGGTGGTTCTGGTGGTTTGTTGTTGTCGAGCATTTTAGTAAAGGCTGACACCATTGTGTC